ATGTCAGTGACTATGAGACTTATTTATCTTATACCTGCCAACAACATATCAGGTGAGATATATACCACCTGATCAATAACAATATAGATATTGGTAATATAGCTATAATGGTAACATAGACATAATATAGGTATTCTATATTTCTATAATCTACTCAGGAATATATGAGAGAGAAAAATGTAAACAGTTTATCAGTGGACAAATATCTTTCCAATATACCAGATTTTTTAACACTGAAAATTTATTAAAAGGAAGAAACTTTTCTTTCCATGCAGACTGTAAATAATTTACCTCTGAAGTGGGTTTGCTGAGCACTAAAAATCCCATTTTTTTTGCTTTAGTGCAAGAAAATTCTTTCATGAATGAAACTGGACCCCTATTTCTCACCATATACAAAAATCAAATCAAAATGGATTAAAGATGTAAATCTAAGACCTCAAACTCTGAAACTACTACAAGAAAACATTGGGGAAACTCTCCGGGATATTGGTTTGGACAAAAATTTCTTGTGGAATACCCCACAAGCACAGGCAACCAATGCAAAAATGAGCAAATTGGATCACATCAAGTTAAAAAGTGTCTGCGCTGCGAAGGAAACAATCAACAAAGTGAAGAGACAACCCACAGAATGGAAGAAAATATTTGCAAACTACCCATCTGACAAGGGATTAATAACCAGAATATATAAGGAGCTCAAAAGACTCTATAGGAAAAAAATCTAATCATCTCATTTTAAAAGGGGCAGGAGATTCAAACAGATATTTCTCAAATGGAAAACAGACATATGAAAAGGTTCTCAACATCATTGATTATCAGAGAGAAGCAAATCAAAACTACAACAAGATACCACCTTACCCCAGTTAAAATGGCTATTATCCGAAAGACAGGCAATAACAAATGTTGGTGAGGAAATGAAGAAAAGGGAACACTTGTACACTGTTGGTGGGAACGTAAATTAGTACAACCACTATAGAGAGCAGTTTGGAGGTTCCTCAAAAAACTAAACATAGAGCTACCATAAAATCCAGCAATCACATTGCTGAGTATATACCCAAAAGAAAGGAAATCAGTATATCAAAGAGATATCTGCACTTCCATGTTTATTGCACCACTGTCCACAATTGCCAAGATTTGGAAGCAACTGAAGTGTTCATCATCAGATGTTTGGATAAAGAAAATGTGGTACACAGTGGAGTACTATTTAGCCATAAAAAGAATGAGATCTTGTCATTTGCAGCAACATGAATGGAACCGGAGGTCATTATGTAAAGCTTGAAATAAGTCAGGCACAGAAAAACAAACTTTGCATGTTCTCACTTATTTGTGGGAGCTAAAAATCAAAACAACTAAACCCGTAGAGATGGAGAATAGAAGGGTGGTAACCAGAGGCTGGGAAGGGAAGTGGGAGTAGGAGAAGTAGGAGGGAAATGGGATTGGTTAATGAGTACAAAATAAAAATGGAAACAATGAATAAGACTTAGCATTTGGTAGCACAACAGGGTGACTATAGTCAATAATAATTTAATTATACATTTTAAAGTAACTAAAAGAGTATAATTGGTCTGTAACACAAAGGATAAATGCTTGAAGTGATGGATACTCCATTTACCCTGATGTGATTATTACACATTGTATGCCTGTATCAGGGTATTTTGTGTACTCCATTAATATATACCCCTACTATGTACCCACAAATATTAAAAATAAAAATCTTTCATAATACAATAACATTTTTATGTTTTTTAGTTCCTCCACTATAGTTTATATTTTCTTTTTTCTTTTTTATATACCCTAGAACTTAACGTATAATACAAAATAAAATAAAATAAATATTATTAAAAAAATAATTTATATTTTCATTTCATTTTGTGATTCTGAGAAGCAATTATCCTTTTACTCGGAGAAGCAATTTTTTAGTAAGGTATCTCAAAGTCTCCCTCTCCCCTTGGAAATATGCTTCCATTATTCTTAGAAGCTCCATCTATGAGCTTTCTTTTCTTGGCCAAGGGTGTAAATAAAAAACCCAGTTGAATTTTGAATTTAGGCCCTCCCCTTAGTTGCTGTAAGAAACAGATTGAATTATTTATAACCGTGGACATCCAGGTTTTCATCACCACCGGCAGATGGGTGTTTTAGAGCATTCACCTTTAAGATATCCAGAATACAAGCTGTTGATCCTCTGTGGATTGTAAATTTCTAGACTTGGGCTTCTCGGTTCCTGGCGGGTTTTGTCAAGTTTTATGATCACCATTACATTAGCCCCTCTGAAATGTTGGGAAGCTGGGAGCCTCCTTCCTATTAGGAAGGCTTGCCTTGACTTTCTACCAATAAAGTTGTTCTTAGACCAGAGTTCATCCTAATAAGCATCTTGAGAATTGCCCCTGAACTAAGAATTATTTCCCCCTCTGTCTGCTCTAAGCCTCAGAATCTTACACAGCCTACATGCCTTGAATCTAAGACAGGGCTTATAGCATAACAACTTTTTTATCACCTTCCATCAGGCAGCAAAGCCTCCAGGTGGATTAGGCTGAGTATATAAGAAGCTTATAAGGTAGCAGATGTCAGGCCTCAGTAAAGGTCATTCTACTAGGGCTATTCTCTTTCCCGACACAGTTTTCTTCCTGGACTAGTGTAGGACGTGGAAGGAGGACTGGTATTCTGCCACAGACCCTTGGAATGCTCAAGATACAGGATCCTCTGTGACGGATGTGCACATGGTCTAAGAACCTAGGGCTGAAAGTGGCAACATGTAAAAGGACAATGGAATACAAATGGGATAACGTTACTTGATTATCTTTCCAAGTATGAAACACGAAGGATTACTAGAATGTGATGCTGCTGTGATTTCTGGATACCAAATCTTTTATGCAGAAATTTATATTCCTTCATCAGAAAAATATAAGTTAGACATCCTCATTATGGTTCCATTTGAGGAAGAAAGATTTAGGAAAGTTCTCTACCATCTAACCAGGATTAATGCATAAAGCTCTTACCTAGTCAAATGTAGCCCAAAAAGTTGTTAAAGGGATGCAGAACAGATGGGCTAGAGAGGGAATTTAAAAATCATCTTTAATAAACTCTTCCTAAGAGCCAAGATCCACATTATGGGGGCAAATTGCACAATAATATAATTGTCTTAGGGATATAAAGACTCCATGCAGAATATTGGCTCAATGCTCTGGCTCAGTTGAGTTGAGTGATGTTGGCTATCTAGGCTGTTGATGTGTCACTTACTTGCAGGCCACTGGAGTAATATGATTAAACCAGCCACTTACATAACCCTCCTATAACAAACACAAGTGCCAGGATCACACTGATGCAGGGGTGTGAAGCAGAGTGCATTTCTCAAGATGCTTTAGGCCATCAGGATCTGGTGCCATAGCACTCTGTTCTCATGGCCCCAACTTTTCCAAGAAGTCTGACCTTCTAGCAGACAACCTAAATTAATGTCAAGTACAAATGGATTCTCCATAAAAACATTTGACTAATTCATTGCCTAGATCTTAACATTTGTGGCCAAATTTCCAGTTTTCCTGATGAATAACTTCTTGTTAGAAAATGTCAGAAAAGGGAAAGACATCATGGGCTTCTACAGGAAGTAAATACGACTATTTTCTCCCTGAGTCATGGGTCAAGGGTTTTACCAATTTCCTTTCTAGAATTTTTCCTAGGCTCCAATCTAAAAGGAGTTTAGCACCAGATGGGTGGGGGCAGGGATGTGATTAGCTATTTATTTGTATTTCTACAATGTTGAATATACTCTTATTGCTAGGGATTTCCATTCACTTTCTCTGCATAGAAATTTGGTATTCCTGGGGTTGGGGGCTGGTGGTAGAATGTCTTTACATGGCCATACAAAACCCATCACAATCTGGTGAGCCCTTGGAGTGTCTTGCTTAAAAGGGTTCTCGTCACTGGGAGTACTCACTGGAGCCAAGCCAGTTCCCTGGGGAATGCTGGTGTCTGCTACTTACAGAGTTGGCTGTCAGGTTGGTCCTGTGTGTTTGTAATTAGCTATGATGTCTGGATGTTGATAGAGTGAATCTGGCCCATTGGTTCCCCTCCAAAGAGGGGTTTCCTGGCTAGCTCTCCTGTGTCAGAAATGCCAAGTTCGGAGTTGCCTGGAGACACCAGAGATGCAGATTTATTTGGCTGAGCTCTGGTTGTGAAGCCAAGTGCCGAGAAAACAGATCAGAGACCAAACCTGAATAGTAATCAGTGGGCTTCTCCAACCACTTGGCTCTTTTGCTTTCCAATGTTATGTTTAATGTTTTAGAATATATTTAGTAAACATGTCACTAGCAATTGCCAGTCCTCAGTCTTTCCCCACTCTTTTTTTTTTTTTTTAAATGGTTTTCCTTTTTCCTTTGGGTTAGTATGATAGGCCAGTTTTACAATGTATCTGAGTGTGTGTGAATGTGTTTCAGGCTAGACAAATTGGAAGATTTGTTTTTACTAGTTCTTAGCTTGTTATAGCATCCACTCCTTATTAACTGGTAAATAATATACCTTCTTCTCTTTTATCCTCAGATTTGGCTTGTTCTTCTCCCCTGAGAAAGCTGAGCTTAGAGTATACATCAATTCACACAACTTGGTTTGAATTTATAGATGCATGCAAGGTATGCTCTTATTTTTTCTTGCATTGAGTTCGAAAAACAATATTCCTTTGTGCTTTAGTCCATGTAGGATACAACTACACTCTACCAACTAAGAACTGAATGGTTTCTAAAGTCTTTCTCTTTAATTATTCCAACCCCAGTATGAGATGAAGTTGGGATCCTTGTTCTTCCCAGTCCTTGCCTCCTTCTTTCTCCCTATCTTACTACTCCTCCCTACATGTGTATTTTCCTTTAGTTATTGAGTAGCTCCTTATAGATCCCTGAATATATCAAGCTGCTTCATGCTTCCTTGTCTTCATAATTGTGTGTTAGTTTCCTATGGATGTTGTGACAAATTACCACAAACTTGGAGTCTTAAGCATCAGAAATTTATTCCTTCACAGTTCTGGATCCCAGAAGTCCAAAATCAACATGTAAATAGGTTTACTTTCCCTCTGGAGGCTTTAGGGGAGAATCCATTCCGTGTCTTTTCTGACTTTTGGTGGCTGCTCTCATTCTTTGGTTCATAGCCATGTTAATCCGTCTCTGCTTCCAAGGCGACATTGCCTTTTCCTCTTCTGTCAGTGTCAAATATCCCTCTGCCTCCCTCTTATAAGAACAAATGTGATTACATTTAGGGCCCATCCAGATAATCCAGGGTAATCTCCTTTTCTAAAGATTCTTAACTTAATCACATCTGCAAAACCCTTTTTCCATATGAGAGAACATTTATGGGTTCTAGAGATTAGGACTTGGATACCTTTTGGGGGTTCATCATTCAGCCTAACATCCACTTGCTATTTCCTTAGCTTGGGGCATTCTGTCCACTTTTTGTTACCTAGTCAGTACATCTCAGACTATCTATGATGAAGGATCATTTAAGAAATTAAATTTAAATTTGTTGCATGTATGACAAAAAATGACAATTTTTCAAAATCACATGCTTGCACTTTGCAGCAATACCAAATTACTATTATAATTTCCAAACTCTTACTCTTCTCTCGCATCAAACCAGTAACCAACAGTTTACATACTGCCACTAGTCCACAGACCACACTTTCAGTAGTACTGATCTATATGGCTCCTACTCATTTAAGCACCATCTTTTCCAGGAATCTTTTCTGGCTCTCTATTTCCGACTTGAGTTTAATGACCCTGACCATTCTCATTGTTACTAAGATTCTTTAATTTCTCTTCACTTTCTAGTTCTTAGTTATTTTCTTGATCCTCTCTCCTTTAGCCTCTTAAGTGTTAAGAACCATGCTTTGGTAGACTTTGAGCCTACCATGGATCTTGATATATAGTAGATGCCTAATAAGTTTTTATTGAATAAATGATTGAGATATACATGGAGTCTTAAGGTTGCATCCCAAATGAACAGAGAAAAGATGTATTTGGGGAAAATGTGAGGAAAGGATGAGACTGAAGAAACTGAAGGAAACCTAGGATGGTGTAGTAGATTACGAAAATGGTCACAAATTCTTCCCATCGAGAAGGGAAATTTATTTCTTTAACCTTTAAATCTGGGCTGGCCTAGTGATTTGCTTTGACCAATAGAATGTGGCAGAAATTATAATTGACACCTGAACTAGGCTTTCCAAGGTTTTATAGCTTTTGTTATCCTCTACCACCATATGAACAATGCTGGCTTAGCTTCCTGGAGAATGAGAGACACTGCAGAGGGAGGTACCATCAGTTGGCTATTCAAGGCATCTTTTGAAGCCCCTAAATATATGAGTAAGCACAGTCAAGGACAGTTGAGCCCAGATCACTCGAGTAAAATCACCTGAATGAGCCCAACGCAAATTGATAATACACAGAATCATGAGTTAATTAAAGTGGTTGTTGTTTTAAGCCACTAATGATGGTGGTTTGTTATACAGCAAAAGCTAACTGATCCAGAGAGGAATCAAAGTGAGGCATGAAAGTTAATCAAGAGTTGTGTTTTGTCCTCCCCCAATGCAGAATAGGGATGGGTTTAAATTGTGACAGGGAGGACTAGAATTAGATGTTACAAAGTACTTTTCCTTTGCAGAGTGTGAAACATTAAAAGACATAGATAGCAAGAGGAATAAACATAGATGTAATTTGCATCCCTGGCTGTAAAACAAAAAAAGGCACTAACAGATCCACGTGGAGCTTAAACCCAAGACCTATTGTCTTTAGAGGCAGAGTCAACAGGCAAGTTGATGATTGTGCAGTTCAGCTCAACTGAATAAAAAAAAAAAAAATGACATTAAGTTTTCTTGAGATTTGCAAGTATCGCTGAAAAGAAAGGAGGAAAGCAGTTGAAAAGTTCAGCTTTAGATTTTTGATAACTTGAACTTGTGCTTCACCCTCCTCATGGCTCATTTGGCCTACCTTTCATTCATTCCTTCTGCAAATATTGACTGTTCCCCTCCCCTGCACTGGGCTAAGGGCTAGGTACTAAATATTTGATGATGAATAGGACAGACACAAGACCTCACAGATCTTACTGTTTGGAAGAGAAAACAACCTAATAGGCAACTATTACACTTGGAAGCTTAGGCTTTTTTTGCTTTTTTCAGATGCATCAAGCATACCTTTCTGCTTTTGTGATTCCCACCATCATGTGTAGCCAACTTCCATCAAGCCTCAGCATCTGTGCCTTTCAGCATGACACTTAGATCACTTCAGGACTAGTCTGAAATCAGCTGTTTGAAATTATGCATCACTAATTTATTGATGTGGATCATGACGAATCAAGGAAAGTGGAGTCAGAGCTGTGAGAAAAGAAGAAACACATCTGGTGGAGGGTTTTATGGGCTTACAGGTGAGCCTGTTCGTGCCAGCCTGCAGTGTAGAATTTTAACTTCTCCTATAAAACATCTGAGGCCTAGAGATCACAAATCAGATATATTGCATCCAACGTTAAAAACATCTCGTAATTTACCATAGTAAATCAATCAATATTTTCCTAGAAATATTGGAACTGAAACAAGAGTTGAGTGAAAACAGAAAAATCTCTAGAGGTTTAGTTGGCTTAAAGGTATTTCTTGAAATATTGAATCCCAGGGGCTAGAAAACTGTATTAGAGATATCCTTGAAAGGTGCTTTTCCAAGTGATGGAAAAGTGGCTTCCAGAAAGTTGTTTATTACTTGGTAGAAGGAACCAGTTAGTTAGGTTATGGGAGGACAGTCAGCTCTTCATTACCCAGGGGCCAGTTATTCCAAAACTGTGTTTTGATCCTTGTGTCCATTGCTTCATTTTGATCCTTTTGTCCATTGGAACTGCCATCCAAAGGATTGCCGAAGAAGTTGGAGAACATGTGACTCAATATTAACAGTATACTAAAAATTAGCAGCATATTAGCTGTACTTATTCTTTAGATAGCTCTGTGAGGAAGTGGTTTCATCTTTCCAATATGGTAGTCCTTAATACTTGTGGATTTTATTTATTCCACTATATTTGCCCATATTTACAGGAGTAGGAAATCCAGGGGAGGCAATTAGAATACAGTTTTCCATTTCCCATATTTTTGCTTCTATTTTTAAGTTTTTAGCGTAACCATTTGTCTGCCAAAAAAGAAAAAAAAAAAGTTCCCAGAAAGCTCTAGGAGAAAGACCATGGAACTGGTGGCTAGGAAAGAGATTTCTACTCTGGGCTCAGAGATTATCTAACGTTTTTATTCTCTGGTTCCTTATTTTAAAAATGGACCCAAAATAGTGCACTTTAGTCCTTGTGGTGGGGAGGAGGGTGTTAACACTAATTAACAGGAAAAAGACACTTAAAAAGTTAAAAGCACTGTGTAAATATAATATCTGAAATGTGAAACTCCTAAGATTATACTCTTTGGAAACCACTCCTACAACAACTCTTGGTTCTGGTCCAGGGACTCTAGGAGGTTGAGAGAGTGGCCGTGAGCCCTTCTGCTCCCTGTGTGAAGGTGCCTCTCCCTCGCTGCAGAACCTCTTCTTGTTTTGGCATCAGGTCTCAGCAGCTCGCCCTTCCTAGGTAGGTAGCGGTCCACTTGCTATCTCCCGAGAAATCCTGATTGGCTCAGTTTCCTTATTCATAGGCATGGTATTAAACTTGAGAATTGGAAGATAATTTCTTCCAAGTCACAATCGTTAGTTTGCACACAGCCATAGTTCAGGATTTGAAATCTCAAGATCTTTTTATTAAATGTCACCACTGCCTCAATTTTAAAATCGTAGAGGCACTTTTTTTTTTTTTTTTAAATAAAAGCACATTGTTGAGAATTTGATCCCTTGAATTCCCCTAAAATTATTCTCCTTTGGTGAGAAAACCCCTACTGATTTTTATCTTGTTCTGTTCTTTAAACTACAAGGGAAAACACATGCAAATCCACATATATGCATACCAGAAACAGGAAATGCTTTGTTACCAAAATTCAAAACTGGATGAAGATCAAAAAACTACTTATTAAGTACTATGCTTATTACCTGAATGATGAAATAATCTGTACACCAAACCCCTGTGACACACAGTTTACCTATATAACAAACATTCACATGTACCCCTGAACCTAAAAGTTAAAAAATAAAAATAAAAAAATTACTCAGAGGAGAAAAAAAATCAAAACTGATTCTATCCACCTACTTCATTAAATAAATAAATACATCATTTATTTCTTAATTGCCCTAAGTGAAGTACACTGTGGTTTTTGAAAACAGAGCATGTTAATACAAATGCCGGAAAAACTCACCTGAGAAGCCACAGAGTATAAGAGAAAAGCTCTTGGACCCAGGGTCAGGAGGCCTATGCTACACACTTGTGTGTGACCACAATAAACCGCTTAACCCTCTGGACTTGAGTAGAGGAGAGGCCAAGATTAGTAATATTTACGAGAATTCTTCCAACTGCAGTATTGGATTTTGATACCAAAAGGAATTCTAATGTACTGCATTTTTTTGGATTTCTCCATCTTGTTTAGGGTCTAGGATGACTTATTTCTTCTTTTCGTCTCTCCTCTCCCCTTCCCTCTCTTCCTTCCTTCCTTCCTTCCTTCCTTCCTTCCTTCCTTCTTTCCTTCCTCCCTTCCTCCCTTCCTCCCTTCCTCCCTTCCCTCCTTCCTCCATCATTTCCTGAGTGCCTGAGATGTGCCTGACACTTGCTAGGAGTGGTGATATAGCGGTGATGAGGACAGGCAGGTCTCTGACTTTATGCAGCTTATACTAGTGAACTCAGAGAATAAACAATGAGTCCATCAACGTCTGTTAAGATTTAGCAAGTTCTCTGCCAGCATGGCTGCAGTTGTCTTGGAAATCTGAAGGAGGTAGACCATGTAACAAAAGGCCAAGACAGATCCCTGCCTGGCATTTTAGCCTCCAATTTGTGTTGTCAGCCAGGGGAAAGTTAAGTTTAGAGGCTGGAGTCTGGAAGGCAAAGGGCAAGGCATGCTCTAATGGGTACCCGTCATGCAATTCTTTGGTCTCATGGTCTCT